AAAGGTTCTTGTTTATTCAAAAAATTTAAAATTATAAATATCGAAACAACTTTTTTTGTAAATAAATTAATAATACAATACCAGATGACGTTGTTATAATAAACTAAACACAGATGTTATTTTGTTTAACTAACAATATTTTATTAATTAAAAATACAATAATTTAATAATTTTATGTTCTCAATGTAGATATAATTAAAATATGTACTCAATTTGTTTGATAATATTCAAGTTTCTTTTCTTCTTAAAACATTGAGTTGTTAATATTTTTGAGTTGTTTGAGTTCTTCAAAATTTTGCACTTTGATTTGTTTTGATAATTTTAATTCAACAAGAGAAGTTGGCAAATTCAAAGTGACGATGTTATTACACATCAAAGAGAATGAAGTCAAACAAGTAAGTCCTCTCAAGTCTGCATTGCAGTAGTCATCAACATCCAAAACGGATTCTTTGATGGCATACAATTGATGTGCAGCTGTTCCATTTTGATAGAAAACGCCATGAGTGTCAACTGGATGGACATTTGGTGGAATAAGTAAATACACACCAATCGTAAACTCCGCATCAAAACTGTAATAAACGCGTTCATTGCCAACTGCCTCTCGTAGTTCTTCAAATTCTTTGTAATATTCAACATCACGAACATAAAATTTGACGTGTATAGTCAACCTCTTTAATTTCAACAACTCTTGTATTGGCTCTATCAGCTTTTTGGTGTGTAAAGTTGTAATTTGAACGAATTTGAAAGAGGGATAGTACTCAATATTGTTGACTAAATGTCGCAACGATTTTTTAGTAGTCAAATACGCTCAAACAATTTTGGTTTCTGGTTGGTCTGGTTCATCTTCGTCAATTTGGTAAGCTGTGTCCTCTAAATTTGCTGTTTTCATATTTGTGAATTCAAAACTGCCGCTGTAATCAGTGATTCAAATGCATTTGATTTTTGAAAGCGTTTCATCAGACAGTTTGTCGGCCGTTTTAGTGTCGACTTGAAGGGTGTGTAACTTGGGAAAGTATTTTAAATTTTTTTTGACAATCATTTCGGATTTGTCTGGGCATATGGTTGACCATGGATTCATTTGAGTGGAATCAACAGAAGTTTGGCATTTGTGACTGACTAAAATTAATGTTTCAATAT